TGACACTCTTTTCAGACAACTGTGAAGAAATTTAAAAGACATAACCCCATAAGGAGGAGACAACAATGGAGAACAAGTGGCAACAGGTTTCTGTATAATGGAAAGCAACAGCGGACTTCCAGAGTGAGATGGCAGATTGAACACACAAACATCTAATTTTGCTTCCTCCCAAAACTTTACAAAAACAAAGGTAAAGGAAGTTTTGTTACTACTGTTTACTCTGTTTTTAGGACACAAGCCATAAGGACAGGGAGAACGAGACAATAGCAACAACATTTTGGAAGCTGGAAAGAAGCTAGATAACTGACCTAGTCAAAGATGGCCAAACTCCAAGCCAACAACGCTGACAACTGAGAACAAATCAGTTTACACCACAGAATCCTCAAAAGTTCAGGAACTTCCAGAAAAAAGAGGGGAAGGGAGACTAAAAGGATCGGGTGAAAGCTGAAAAGTTAGAAACCTAGATTTCCTCCAAGCTGCTGAGTGCCACCCACAATGTGGCAGATGATGGTAGATTTCTTATCTCAAGGGGGTAAACCATACGAGGTGGAAGACATAGGTATCCTAACAAACAGAGACAGATTATGTGAGCCTATATCCTAAATGCTCTATGGCTCTTTACCCAACCCTCTTTTCCTGAGTTCCCAGATACTGGCAACTAGACCTCAGCTCTCCAAGCAGAAAACCGGAAGATACTCTCTGGAAAATATGACTAGGACAAAAGGAAAGATAAATACACTAGAAATAGCCTCAAACAATCCACCCAGACTAATAGTTTCAATGTTAGCCACAAACTGGAATTATCTGGGCAGCTTTAAAAAATACTGGCGCTAATCTACAGAGATAGAAATCAGAGCAGTGGTCACCTCTGGGCCGGGAGTGAGACAACAGAAGGGATATGAAGAAATCTGGGCCGGGCGCAGTGGCCCACATCTGTAATCCGAGCACTTAGGGAGGCCAAGGCGGGTGGATCACAAGGTCAGGTGTTTGAGACCAGCCTGACCAACATGGTGAAACCCTGTCTCTATTTAAAATAAATAAATAAATAAATTTTCCAGAATTTTTGCCATCCTTTACATCTTGTGTCTGTTACATGGTAAAAATGAAACTACACACTTAAATTCTGTGCATTTTATTGTATGTAGCCACACCTAATTTTTTTTAACTCTTGTTACTGGGGGCCTATTCTCAGACATTCTGATGTATTAGCAGCAGGTTTTTTTTTTTTTTTTTCCAAAGCTCTCCATGTGATTCCAATGTACTGCCGAAGCTGAGAACCACGGCTTTAGACTCTAGAATACTAGGTAAAACTACATGTCCTCAAGCCCTACGTACAACCTCAGGGCTTCCCATCAGCTTTCAGTAGCTGACTCTTTATCATGAACAAACAACCAAGGATAATCAGCCCTCCGAGGAGGGCCTCTACTAATAAGACTACACCAAACAGGAAAAAAGTAACTTGGAGAAAACAATGCAAGGAAAGGAAGGTTTAGGCTGGGCACACTGGCTCACGCCTGTAATCCTAGCACTTTCAGGGCTCGAGGCAGGCGGATCACCTGAGGTGAGTTCAAGAACAGCCTGGCCAACATGGTGAAACCCCGTCTCTACTAAAACACAATAATTAGCCGAGCATGGTGGCAGGTGCCTGTAATCCCACCTACCCGGGAGGCTCAGATGGGAAAATCGCTTGAACCTGGGAGACGGTGGTTGCGGTGAACCGAGATCACACCACTGCATTCCAGCCTGGGCAGCTGAGCAAGACTCCATCTCAAAACAATAAAAGATTTTTTAAAACTATTTTTAACATTCTCAGAAATATAAGAGCAGATAAGAGCAATAAAAATAAAAGATTTTTTAAAACTATTTTTAACATTCTCAGAAATATAAAAGCAAACATAAGCCATATCTGCTTTTATATTTTCTCTCTCTATAAAACAGGAAGAGATGGAGGAATAAGTGACTGAGTAGAGGAAGCTGAACCTACCGGCCTGCAGAAGGGAATACAAGCAAGAAACAAGCTGAGGGAGTCTCTCTCAGCCTATTCTGGCTCAGGAAGCTGCCCGATAATGTGATATAATTTTTTTAATTTAAAAAAAAAAAAAAGAAGCAAGCTGATTTGGCTAACTCACAGAACCCCAGAAAGGCTCAAGATCTAGGTGCCCAGGAGTTTCCAAGTATAGAGTCAGTGGTGGAGACGCATGGGGCTAAAGAGTAAGTCGTTTGAAGTCTATGTAAGGTATAGTTGGACTCTAGGCTCCCTCCTTCACCGCCATTCCTACGTCATAAATGTATTTTCTAGAAACACTAATGTGGTGATATGTTCTGGCTCTGTGTTACCACCCAAATCTCACCTTAAATTGTAATAATCCCCACATGTCAAGGGCAGGACCAGGTGGAGAAAACAGAATCACAGGGATGATTTCCCCCACGTTATTGTGATAGTGAATTCTCACAAGATCTGATGGTGGGGGACTTCCCCCTTTTTTAGGCACTCTTTCTCTCCCCTGTTTCCCTGTGAACAGGTGCCTTCCACAATGACTGTAAGGATCCTGAGGCCTCTCCAGCCAAATGGAGCTGTTAGACAATTAAACCTCTTTTCTGTATAAATTGCCCATTCTTGGGTATTCTTCATAGCAGCGTGAGGATAAACTAATACACTGAAGAGACTCCAGATTCAAAAGTGAGGCTCAAGGCTAAAAGCCAAGGGATTAAACAGAAGTGGCTGGGCACGGTGGCTCACGTGTGTAATCCCAGCACTTTGGAAGGCCGAGGAGGGCAGATCACAAGTTCAAGAGATTGAGACCATCCTGGCCAGCATGGTGAAACCCCATCTCTACAAAAATTAGCTGGATGTGGTAGCATGCGCCTATAGTCCCAGCTACTGGGAAGGCTGAGGCAGGAGAATTGCTTGAACCCAAAAGGCAGAGGTTGCAATGAGCTGGGATCGCACCTCTGTACTCCAGCCTATCGACAGAGCAAGACTCCATCTCAAAAAAAACAAAAACAAAAACCAAAAGTGTGTTTGGTGAAAAGCAGCCCCTTCCCATAGCCCACTTCCTTTGCCCACCTTTCAGAACACTGGGAGCCAAGCACAGACCCTGTCCCCCTCCCCTAGATTTGATTACCAAGAGAAATTCTTAGAAGACCTAGATAGATATGCCATGTTATTACATCTCTCTATCCGGGTCTTTCAGGAATTTCTCTTGGTAATTTCAAGAATTTCAATTTTGATATAAAATTGAAAGACTCAGTATTAAAACATCAGTTCTCCCCAAATTTATATATACATTCAATTCCAATTCCAAAATTTGTGGAAAATGACAAGCAGATTCTGAAATTTATATGAAAATGTTAAGAGCCAAAAACAGCCCAGAAAACCTTAAGAAACAAAGTTGAGGAGCTTATATTACCACATATCAAGGCTTATTATAAAGTTACATCAATACAGTGATATTAACACAAGGACAACCAGTGCACAATAAAACAGAACAATCCAGAAACAGACCCACAGTAATTTCATAAATTAGCTGACCTTACTGTCACCTAATTAGAAAAAAAAAAAGTGCCACACCATGCCTGGACCACTTGCACATTTATAATTGTGAACTTTTTCTCTATACTTCAATAACTTTTCTAAGATTTCTTTGACAAAGTTTTTGGAAATCTTAAAGCTAGCATTTAGAATATAAAAAAAGAGTTTCTGGGACAGGCGTGGTGGTTCACGCCTGTAATCCCAGCACTTTGGGAGGCTGAGGCAGGTGGATCACTTAAGGTCAAGAGTTCGAGACCAGCCTGAACAACATGGCGAAACCCTGTCCCTACAAAAATACCAAAAAAAAAAAAAAAAATTAGCCGGGCATGGTGGTGTATGCCTGTAATCCCAGCTACTCAGGAGGCTGAGCCAGGAGAATCGCTTGAACCCGGGAGGCGGAGGTTGCAGTGAGCCAAGATCGCGCCATTGCACTCCAGCCTGGATGACAGAGTGAGATTCTGTCTCAAAAGAGAGAAAAGAAAAGAAAAGAAAGAAAGAGAAAAAAAAGAGAAAAGGGCTTCTGGTACACTGGTGAAATTTTACTGACAAAATTTTAAAACAAAACAAAAAAGTTACTAACACATAACAGCTCAGAACAAAGATTAAAAGCTACCAGCAGATCACTTTTCTTTAACTTCAGGAAGCACTGGGATTCATTCGTTAGGCAAAGAAAGGCGTTTATCATTCAACACTGTAACCCAAATAAAAGATACCACTTCAACAAAGTACTTCTTTTCGGAAGCAGCTCGACCAGCAACAGATAGGAGGAAAGCGAGGAAACCATTCCAAAGGTCTTGGCTAATACTTGGATGAAAGGATGGCGAATGCGATCACATAAGAAGCCCCAACGACAGACACAGGTAAATCACAGCAACTCTCCGGAATGCAAACACCAACACCACAATCCAGCCTACCGGAAATCCTGCGGTGAATTTGAGGCTTGCCCCACTAGTCATAAGGGGATTCAGTGATGGCTACAAACGCTCCTCGAGTGCATCCTGGACCCGGCTCACCGGCCTTGCCCATCACCAGCCTGGAGACACGCGCCGCGCGCAGAATCCAGGAGGCCGAGCAAAAACGCCAACTTTGCAAGTAAGGGGCGCGAGGCTCCCGCCCCTCAGGTCCGCTGCGGGAACCGACTTCTGGCCTCGAGAGTGGGGTACCGCGTCGGTGTCCTCCACAGGATTTACAAGGACGTGCCCCCGAAGCTGCCCCGTCCCTCCACCTCCCTGCGACACACTGTTAGACCCGCCGGCGAGTTTCTTCCCCAGCGCCCACGAGAAGGAGGGCTGCGGGCGGCGGCGGCCGGCGAGGAAGCGAGCGCGAGGAACTTAGGCCCTGGCGGGGCCGGGCGCAGCCGCCCCGCTCGCTCAGCGAAACTTGCGACTGCCCCGGCCCGCCGCGCCTCGCCCCGGCTGTGCGCCCGCGGAACCCGGACTCAGCGCCCGCCTGGCGCGGCGCCCCTCACCTTGGAAACGTTGGTTGGACTTCGCTGTAAACATTAATTTCCCATCCAGCCGGCGGCTGCGCCGCCGCTTCTCAGCGCCTCGGCCCCGCTCCCGGCTCCGCGGGTCGCCCGTCCAGCATTCCCAAAAGCACGGCGCTCACTCGGAAGCTCAGCGCTGCCTCGCGACCCTCACCTACGCCTCCCGGCACCGCCGCTGCCGGCACCGCCGCCGGCCCGCTGGGTTTTCTAGGGTCCGGCCCGGCCGCGTCAGGAGAGCCCAGGGCGCAGGCGCGGCACGGCCTTAAAGAGACCCGGCAGCCTCCACAGCAGAGTCGGTGCGAGCAGGTCAGGGGCCGGGCGCGCCGGCTGAGAAAAGGAGAAGCCGAAGGGATTGGACGGAGCACGGCGGGGGCGGGGCGAGCCGTCTCTCCGCTCCGCCTCTCCGCCAAAGCGCCAGCCCTCAGCCCTGCGCATCGTCGACTTCCCCCGCCACTTGGACCGCCCCCTGCATATTAAAGCGACAGAAGACACACCCCCTGGGGGTTCCCGAAGCGACCCCGCGCTGTGGACTGCGGGTCTCGCGCGGCCGCACCGCCCCCGAGCCTGACTTCCAGGCCCCGGGCACGCGGTGCAGAGGCGCAGGCTTCGGAAGGCAGCCCAGAGTTCCCCCGAAGGGTGACCTTAGGGCACTCTCAAAACAATAATCAACGTGTAAATGCCACTTGTGTTGTACCCTTCCACATCTCGCACTAGGTTTATGCAGACTCCGGCAGGGGGCAGAACATGGGCACAGATATGTGAGCGTCAGCCCGGCAGCCCTCCAGTATCAACGAAGAAATTCTTGGAAGGAATGTAAACAGCCTATTAATTCTGATCTGGGAAAAGCAGGCAAGAAAAATTAAAAAGGCAACACAGGTTACTTTCACTATATGTTTAGAAGTGACAAAAATTATAATTATCAGCACAAGAAACTCCAAAATTATTTGTCTAGAAATTAGATATCTCTAGTTAATCTCTAGTGAGTTATTTCCTAACTTGAATTTATAAGACAATTCACAGAGGGGCTTCCACGGAACTAAGCATTTCAGGGGAAAAAAAAAAAAAAACACCACTTTTTTTTTCAACAGGATTAGGAAATACCAAGAAATAGGAAGTAAAGCCATGCCCTCCACCCAGCTAAAACCTTTGAAAACTTGAAATTTTATCTGAGGCAAATGTTTACATGACTTTATGTCGTGCCATTATTTAAAGTCATTTTCAATTAACAATTTTATTGCAACTGAATTCATCTTGTATAAGAAAACGAAGATACATCCTTAATAATGTACCTCTCTCTTCTTAATATTCCATCCGTCAGCAAATTCTATTTGTTTTTACCTTACAATTTGTCCTTGAATCTGTCCGCTTCTATCTCCTCCATCACCACTCTAGTCTAGGCTACCTTCACCAGGGGCCTGGGGGTGAAGGGATTACTGACCTAGTCTTCTTGTGGTTTACCCATATCCCCTTCATCACCTCTATAATCTCAACACAGCAGAGTGACTTTTTCAAAATGCAATGTAACCCTGTCACTTCCCAGCCTAAACCACTTAAACACCTTCCCATTCCCTTGGACAAAACTCCTAAATAACCAAGCCCTGAATGACCTCTCCACCACTTAGGCAAAACTCCCTTAGACAAAACTCCTTCCCATTCCCTTAAACAAAACTAACTAAGCAAGCCTTGCTCACCTCTCCACCACTTCTCACTGCTGAGACCATTTCCACACTGCTCTCTGTGCTCCAGCCACACTGGCCTCTGTTATTCCCTATTTACCAGCTTCCTGGCCTCAACAGAGCTTTTGCTCAGGCTTTGTTCTGTGCCCGGAAAGTTCTTTCAGTCCTCATCCTTCTGACAACAGCTCTAGTATCCACCTCTGAGAAGCACTTTCTGACCTCCCTACAGTGCTCTCTTACTCCTGTTACATCGCATGAAACTGTAATTAGGTGGTTATAATGGCGAACCTTTTACTATTAGCTCCATAAGTCCAGGATTTTATTTTGTATATGTTGTATATACATATTTTGTATATGTTGTATATACATACACATATTTTGTATATGTTGTATATACATTAACTGTTGTAAATACAACAGTTCATAGTTGTATTTCCATATTTGTTAAATACATATTTGTTCAGTAAACGAAAATTATAGATGCTAGAACTTGAACTAAATTTGGCATAAAGTCAGGGAAAGGTAAAATGTAACAGTCTGACATTTGGAATCAGAATCTAAAAACTTCAGTTATATTAAAACTGATTTTATATCATTTTAGCTGGGTTGTCACAAGATTCTTTGGGTAACCTTTAAAACAGTCCTCAAAGAGCCTTGTATAGATACCTGAATTAATAATGGTAAGACATGGATGAACCACATAAAACTAATAACATTTGTTGCTTCAAGGGAGGAAGACAGCCAGGCAGAGTAGCTCATGCCTATAATCCAAGCACTTTGAAAGGCTTAGGCTGACAGATCATTTAAGATCAGGAATTCGGCCGGGCGCGGTGGCTCAAGCCTGTAATCCCAGCACTTTGGGAGGCCGAGGCGGGTGGATCACGAGGTCGAGAGATCGAGACCATCCTGGTCAACATGTGAAACCCCGTCTCTACTAAAAATACAAAAAAACTAGCTGGGCGTGGTGGCGCATGCATGTAATCCCAGCTACTTAGGAGGCTGAGGCAGGAGAATTGCCTGAGCCCAGAAGGCGGAGGTTGCGGTGAGCCGAGATCGCGCCATTGCACTCCAGCCTGGGTAACAAGAGCGAAACTCCGTCTCAAAAAAAAAAAAAAAAAAAGATCAGGAATTCAAGACTAGCCTGGGCAACATGTGAAATCCCATCTTTACAAAAAATACAAAAAAAAAAAAATTAGCCGAGTATGGTGGCCAGCACCCGTAGTCCTACTACTTGGGAGATTGAGGCAGGAGGATTGCTTGAGGCTGGAAGGGTGAGGCTGCAGTGAGCCATGATCACACTACTGCACTCCAGCCTCGGTGACAGAGCAAGATACTGTCTGAAAAAATAAAAATAGAGAGAGAGAGAGAGAGAAGAGGAAGACTGACTGAGTGATTGGTGGGTACAGGTGGGAAGGAGATTTTTACTGCATGCCCAAAAGGTTTAAAATCGTACCTTTTTAAAAGTATATGAATTATCTATATGAAGATAAATAAATGACACAAGAGTGTCATACTGTTCCATTTATCTGAAATTCTAGAAAAGGTAAAATTAATCCATCGTGAAAAAATCCTAACAGTGGTTTCTTGTGGCAGGCGATTAACTGGGACGGTACATGAGAGAAATTTCTGCGTGGTAAAAATGGTCTCTATCTTGATACAGATATGAGTTACATAAGTATATTCACTTGTCGAAAATATGCAAGATAATATTTTAGTGAACTTAAGTTTTATCTTAAAAACTATAAAAAATGAGCCAGGCGTGGTGGCTCACTCCTGTAATCCTAGCACTTTGGGAGGCTGAGGTGGGTGGATCACCTGATGTCAGGAGTTCAAGACCAGCCTGGCCATCATGGTGAAACCCCATCTTAAAAAAAAAAAGGGACTCCATATTTGGGTCCCCTTCCACGAACACTCTCGTGGAAGCCATCTTTCTCTTTCCTGGATTTCCTCTCTGGGGTCCCCTTCCACACTCTCTTGTGGAAGCCTGTCTTCCCATCCTAAACTCCATCTCTATTCCCTTTCATTCAGTGTGAAAGCTGCTTTCTTCTCCTGGATTCCATCTTTCTGGATTCTCTCACTCAGTGTTAGACTTAGTTTCTTTCTCTCTCCTCCTGTTTCTCTCTCTCTAAATAAATAAATCACTTTTTCTTTTCTTTTCTTTTCTTTTGAGACAGAGTTTCGCTGTTGTTACCCAGGCTGGAGTGCAATGGCGCGATCTCGGCTCACCGCAACCTTCGCCTCCTGGGTTCAGGCAATTCTGCCTCAGCCTCCCGAGTAGCTGGGATTACAGGCACACGCCACCATGCCCAGCTAATTTTTTGTATTTTTAGTAGAGACGGGGTTTCACCATGTTGACCAGGATGGTCTTGATCTCTTGACCTCGTGATCCACCCGCCTTGGCCTCCCAAAGTGCTGGGATTACAGGCTTGAGCCACCGCGACCATAAATCAAAAAAAAAAAAAAAAAGTGGCCAGGCCCTGTGGCTCACGCTTGTAATCCTAGCACTTCGGGAAGCCAAGGTGGGTGGATTGCCTGAGCTCAGGAGTTCAAGACCAGCCTGGGTAACATGGTGAAATCCCATCTCTACTAAAGCACCAAAAAAAAAAAAAATTAGCTGGGCATAGTGGCATGCACCTGTAATCCCAGCTCCTGGGGAGACTGAGATAGAAGAATGGCTTGAACTCCCAGGGGAGGGGGCAGGGGGAGGCTGGAGGTTGCAGTGAGCCAAGATAGAGCCATTGCACTCCAGCCTGGGCAACAAAGTGAGAGACTCCGTCTCAAAAGAAAAAAAAACAACTCCTGTAATCCCAGTACTTTGGGAGGCCGAGGCAGGTGGATCATGAGGTCAGGAGTTTAAGACCAACCCAACCTGGCCAAGATGGTGAAACCCCATCTCTACTAAAAGTACAAAAAAATTAGCCAGGCATGGTGGCAGGAGCCTGTAATCTCAGCTACTCAAGAGGCTGAGGTGGAGAATTGCTTGAACCCAGGAGGTGGAGGTTGCAGTGAGCCAAGACCGCACCACTGCACTCCAGCCTGGATGTTACAGAGCCAAGACTCTGTCTTGAAAAAAAAAATTATAAAAAAATAAATAAAATTTTAAAATCTAATAGCTAACACCTTGTTGAGCACTCAACATGTATGGGTATTGGCTAAGGCTATGCATACACTATTTTGTTTATTCCTCATATTGTCCTCATGGAGTAGGTATTATTATCATAACCCTCTTGCATATGAAGAAGCTGAAATTTAGTAAATGCCAAATAACTTGCCTCAGTTTATATCCCTGGAAAATGGTGGCAGAGCTTTGAACACAGTCAGTTGAATGCCAGAAGTAGTTAAACATTAGGCCCTAATGTTTAAACAAGCACTTCTCTGAAACTGTAATATTTTGGTTTATATGCATTATTCATCTACTAGATCAATCATTTCACAATGATTGAAATCATATTTTGTCTGTTTGAGGTTTGTGGTTTCATTTTATTTCATTATTTTAAAAGACGGGGTCTCACTATGTTGCTCAGGCTAGACTTGGACTCCTGGATTCAAGCCATCCTTCTGCCTCAGCTTCTTGAGTGGCTGGGACTACAGGCACACGCTATCATACCCCATATTTTTGTCTTAAGCTTTTCCGGTA